ATTTCTATTATATACAAAAATAAATTAATGTTGCAAAATGAAGTATTTGTAAGACTATTTAAATACTCTAATCTACTGATTTAAAGATTTAACTATCTCATAATTCATACATGTGCGCATGTGATCATTTTTGTTCAGCATAAATTTCTCTGAACTAGCATGGCTGCATTTCATCAGTATATTAAAAACACCAATGGAAATCATGCTTCAAAGGAGGGTCCCCAACCCCCGCTCTGTGGACTAGTACCAGGCTAGAGCATGTCAGCAACCAGGCCGCACAAACAAGCAAAGCCCCATCTGTGAGATGCAGACAGCACACAAAACCACGTACCCTATGGTCTGTGGAAAAACCTCTCTCCACAGAACTGATCCCTGGTGCCCAAAAGGTTGGTGACCTCTGAGTTAAGCAATATAGGAAACTCTTGAGCACAATGCTGCCATCTAGTAGTTGTCTGGCATTCTGCTTTAAAGCCTTATCAGTATGACACAGGCCATTCACTTTTGTTACACAGTTCAAATTCATTGGCAGTGGAATTCACTATATTTCATAGTGTGACCACTGATCAGTTTATCCACGTTGTCCAAATTATGCAGTTACAGGTAGTCTTATAACCATTTAACAATAATTTGAAATTACGATGGTGCTGGCAAAAGCGACTTACGACCTATCTTCAAAGTTACAACCATTATACCACCCCTGTGGTCACGTGGTTGTAATTCAGGTGATTGGCAATCGGTGCACATATGATGATTGCAGTGTGATCGTGATTTGCGATCTTCCTAGCTGCTTCTGACAAGCAAAGTCAGTGGGGGAAACCAGAGCCATTTAACGACACTGTGATTCACTATTCACAAAATGACCACAGGAAAAAAATAGTTATGAAATTGGTACAATGACTCACTTAACGAGCTTGTTGCTTAGTGACCTAAATTTCAGATCAATTTTAGATGAGTCTTAAAGATTCTTCTTGTATCTTTGAACTGCAGATGTTTTTTTTTATTCTTGCATAAGCTTGCATTTATAGGAATTATCATGATGAAGTGAGTGTTGGGGAGAAAGAATTGAAGTGGCAGCTGACATCAGACAAAATACATGAATCATGAGAAGCTTAGAAATTCACCCAGTAGTAGAAATGATCCCACTGTTGTGAATAGTATACATAGCAATGGCCTATATTTCCAGTACTGCATGGTTAAATTCACCTGTGTGTTGCTCATTTTTCTGATAGACATATATAATGAATGAAGTTACTCCTAGTAGTTCTCCCTTTCCTTTTTATGCACTTCTGTAATAGTTATGTAGATCTATAGACCATCAAGCTATGACAATCTAATTTAGCAAATACAGCACTTAATGCAAATGGGGATAGTGCACGCTATGCTTTTCACTGAAAAATTATTGATTATGATGTAAATAGAACAGCAACAGTGACATCTTCATCCTTTATTACAATATTGGCATTTCTGCTTTGCTCTGGAAATATAGAATTTAATTATACTTCAATTATTAATGTTTATATTGTGGAAGGTAATTGGTGATATTGCTGATAATGTTTCTAGTACTATAGTTTCTTTATGTACTGCATTTTTATACAAGTATACAGGTTTCTGGTTATTGGCAAGACCCATGGGTAGAATCTATACGTTGCCTGGAATGGCAACATACCAATAGAGGGGTGTGCAGCATTGTTGTAAGCAATTTCAAGAAGAGGTATGAGATCCATTCAGTTGAGTTACTGGTAAGAAATATAGCATCTTAAATACTGCTCCGATAACTGGTTAACCTTCTCAGTTGGAAGTGAAATTATGGGCATATGACATATGAATGCTAATATTTAATAATTGCAAGAGGGCCGCCCAAAATTTGGAAATAAATTGACCTCCTCTATTTATTAGGAAATGATTGACTAATCCCCTAGGAGCTGTTTCTTGGGCTTTTGTGAGACCTTTGCATGGAATAAAGTGAGCCAATTGGGCAAATAAATCCAGTATGGTAGTATATCCCTGCACTGGAGGAAGATCAGTAATGAAATCTAGAGAAACTGTGATCCAGGATTTGGGGGTGGAAATGTTTAATGGCTACAGTCCAGTTAGCTTGTTGGACATTGCAAGAGAATACATAATCCCTAATTCCTCCTTGGATGCAGGGCCACCAAAATTCTCTCTTTGTTGGGTTCTGAATATCTCCCTGTGTCCGGCTGTCTTGTTGTCATGGCACAGCTGTAGTACTTCCTCCCTCAGGGGAAGAGGCACATATAAACATCCATTGTGCAATAGCTGCCCTCCTGCCATTGTGAAAGGCGAAACAGTATTTTGTTGATCTTTCTTGAGTTCATCCTTCCAGGCCCTGGTGTGTGCATCCTGCTGCTGCAGTGCCTTAATCCAATCAGAGATGATCAACTTGCCTTCTTCCAGCCTTTTGTGTTGATCTGCCTTGTGATGGAACTCAGAGTTGTTTGGTTGCAGCTGGGGGTGATTGAGGAACCTGACGCTTCAGCTTGTGTGAGAGGGTGTCTGGAAGCTTGTTCTGAGAGCCTGGGACGTACGAGACGTGAAAGCCAAAGTGAAAGAAAAATTGTGTCCACCTGATCAGTTGGGGTATCAGAGTTTTGGTGTTTTGCAGTACCTCTAAATGGTTAGGTCTAAATGGACAAGTGGGCTGCTCTTTCCTAGCAGGTGTTCCATTGTTCAAAGGAATATTTTACTGCCAGCGGCTCTTTATAGAAAATGTAATAATTCCTTTCTGTTGGGTTGACTGCTCTTGAGTAAAATGCACAGGAAAATAAATTCCCCCGCCCTCCTTGTCTGCTTGGAGATGAACTGCTCTTGTCTCCAAGATTAGAGTTTTTTGTAGCTGGTCTAGTAGGTCTGAGATAAGCAGGAGTAGGTTAAGGTTTCTATTTGTTACTTGCAGTCACGAACGGGGTGCATTTGGGATCCCCCCCCTTTCCTTTCAGCTTGGCTGCTTCAGATTGGCTCCTTGTTTTTGGCTCCTTCAGATTGACTCCTTCTTGTTTTTTGGGGGGGGGGGACAAAGAATGAGAGCTCTGATGCTGGTGAATTGGAAGGGTGGAGGAATCTCGTTTTGAAATTGGCATCCAGATATTCCTTGAGGATGGATAACTCTGGAGGTCTTCTAATTCAACCTCCTGCTCAGGCAGGAAACCAGGAAAAAGTTGCATGACGTTGCGAGTTTGACATGCCTGCCCTATACCATTTCAGACAAATGGTTGTCCAGTCTCTTCTTAAAAACTTCCAGTGTTGGAGCATTCACAGCTTCAAAGATATAGAGCTGTGGTGGCGAACCTATGGCATGCGTGCCACAGATGGCATGCAGAGCCCTCTCTGTGAGCACATGTACCATCACCCCAGTCCTAGGCCTTCAGCTGGGTTTTATAAAACTTTTTTGCTTTAGGCCTCTGCCACTGTGTGCAAAAAAAAAAAAAGGTTCAATCAATCAATTTCAACTTCTCGTGGGAAAAAAAATCTTGCAAAGTTGAAATTGATTGATTGAACTTTTTAGTCCCACCCAGACTGCTGTTACCACTGCAGCCTCGCCCACCCATTGGGCCACACCCACCCAATGGGCCATGCTCATCTGGCACCAGACAATACATAAGTGGGTTTTGGGTTGCAGTTTGGGCACTCGATCTCTAAAAGGTTCGCCGTCACTGATATAGAGCAGACATGTCAAACACAAGGCTCGGGGGCCGGATGCAGCCCATGAAGTGGTTTCATGTGGCCCACAAAGCCATCCTGGAAACAGGGAGGGAACAGCTCCTTCTGCTTTGGCCCTGGCCCAGGCCAGCTGGGAGCCAATGTACAATTTTGTGGTGGCCATCTATGCTGAAACGTATTCAGTTTTAGCTCCATAAGCCCCCCCCCCGCATGGCCTGAGAGGAACAGTGAGGCTCCTCCAGTGGACCATGCCTTGGCACTTGCCCTGGTCCCACCCACTTCTGCCAGAGACCCTCAGATCTGTCCCACTCCTGCCCAGGCCTCCACAGGTACCCTTGATGCAAACGATGTAGAGCTGGCCACACCCACCCAGTAGGCCACACCCATTCCATCCACACCCACCCAGTAGGCCACACCAACCCTGGCCATACCCACCCGCCCCCCTGAGGGCAACCGCAATGCTGATGTGGCCCTCAATGAAATTGAGTTTGACACCCCTGATATAGAGTATCTTACATCTGGAAATCGAAAGTAACAATACCAGAAATAATTAAAGATGCTTGCTGACGGCTGCCTGGGCTGTCCTGAAATGGTGGATGGCCCTGCTTTAGAGCTTGTGTGTGTGTGTGTGTGAAGGAATTGGGGGAGGGGAGTGACAAAGTTTCCCTCAGGCACTATTTGGGAACAAGCTGAGTATTTTCTGACTTCGTGCTCCATCAACAAGTTCAGCAACTTGTTGTGACCATTGGCGGTGCTTTTACCAGGCGCATGATCTGGCTATGGGTCCAGGGGCTCCACAGTAAAAGCACAGTCTTTGATCTGTTCTGCTTTTCTCCCAATGACAGGGATTTCCTGGCTGTTCCAGTTCTTTGCATGGGTTCTCCTGTGCTGGATTCCGAGGAGGTGATTGGGAGGGGTGGCACAGGGGAAGGCAGGCTGTAGGTTGGGAAGAATCCCCAATTTTTCCTGTTTCTTCCTTCCGTCAATTCCAATTGAGAACCTATAATTACACTGGTGATCCTCAACCTACCACAAAGTTAAAAGTTACAACGGCACTGAATAAAGTGATTTACGACCATTTTTCACACTTAATGACCACTGCAGCATCCCCGTGGTTATGTGATCAAAATTCAGATGCTTGGCAACTGACTCGTACTTAATGATGGCTGCAGTGTCCCGGGATTATGTGATCACCTTTTGTGATCAAAAGTCAATGGGGAAGCCAGATTCACTTAACAAAGGTGTTACTAACTTAACAACTGCAGTGATTCACTTAACTGCAGCAAGAAAGGTTGTAAAATGGGGGGGGGAAATCACTTAACTGTCTCACTTAACAGCACAAATTTTGGACTCAATTGGTAGGTTGAGGACCACCTGTACTACATTGATAGAGCTCTTCCAGGGTATTTGGGGTGCCTTGCCTCACTGGCTCATTTATCTCTTAGTTCATGAGCAAACCCTTCCTTGAACTGGCCAATTAGAGCGATTAAGTCATTCCACCCTACGAAACTCTGAAAGATATCCCCTTAATCCCTTCTTGAGTTTCCAAATCTCTTGACTAACTATAATTCTCGGTATGGGATCTCCAAAGCATGCTTTTGAGTTTACGCACAAAATTGTCCAGCACTGGATCATTCCCCTTTAATGAACAGTACTGCCCATTTAACTGTTGCTTCCTTCAGCAGGCTCAGCACAAAAGTCACTCCACCAGTCTGCTGACCATAAATATTTCATTCTGAGAGATGAATGTCTGGAATTGATCCTGGTTCCCCCAAACATCTCTGGCAAGCTGTCATAGAAACACAGAAGCATTGGTTGAGCTTCTGTCTGTTGCACTGCTCCGGGTTGAGACATATTTTGCCCCAGTTGCTGTGTTAGTTGTATTATGGCATTCTATCAATTGTCATCTGGGCATCTATTTGCTGTTGCTATTGTAACAACTCAGCTGACAGATGCCCAGGGGTTAACAGGATTCCTTGAGGATCAGAGGCCATTCTTGAAGTTCTTCTCTTCGGAAGAGAGTAATAAACATGATCGCCAACGTCCGATAAAGGATATGGCACAAGAAGAAGAAAAAGAAGAATAAACTTACAAGACTGATATCAGCCCTCCCAGGTAAACCAGACAAGAAACGTTACTAGATGAGCTAAATCTACTTTATTGTAAGGCTACTTTGACTGAAATTTGCAAATCTGAAAGTATAACATTTCTCAATGGCTCGATCCATTAGGAGGATGGGTCCTTCTTGACTTTATTTCTCTGACTGTTAAAACCACTGGGGGCTCCTGCCGCTCTTGTCTGTTTCCTAGGTAGCATCTCTTCCCCTCTTTCCCCAATGTCATTTCCACCTTTCCCCAATCTCATTTCCACCTTCCATTACAAAAATTCTTCACTTCTAGAACAACCTCACAGGGGTTGTTGTCGTGGGCAAAATAGGAGGCCGAGTAAGAATTTCTAGGTATATTCACTGCCTTGAATTTTTTATAAACACTAATAAAGATGGGATGAAAAATAAATAATTTATTTTTGTAATACTTAATCTGATGTAATGTAACAACTAAGAAACGAATTGCCCAACGTTGTCTATTCAAAAAAAATTCTCTTGAGTACACTCTTGTTTATTTTTAGGTATGTGTCTTTACAAAAGCCGCCTCAGATTTGGAGAAGTACCTGTTTCATTTCACTTGTGTTTGGATTACAGAACAGCAAATCACTTTTTTATACGATTTGCTGAACAAGCCATAATGAGCTGGTTTGTATATACTATAGTAGTGAGTTCACACACTGTGTAAGAACAAATCACGTGGCTGAGTATAATATGTACACTCAGCCACCAGCTCAGTCAAGATCCATAGAGGAAACTCTCTGAGGTCTATTAATAGCACACACTGTTTGGGGTTGTGGAGTGAGCTTAATTAAAAAAAAAAAATCTTATAGTGGTAAAAATGGTAAATTCCCAATAGATGTATAGGGATGAATATGCAATGAACAGAATCCCCAATTCTTACATGATATATTATGCAGTCCCATTTGTGATGCAGTGAGAAAATTACATTGACAAGCTAGAAATCAAGCAGAAGATGGCTTTGAACTTAGTCAGGTGCTTGGAATACCCATAAGAAAAGACCAATTTCCTTTGTTTGTTTTTGCTGGTTTTTTAAAAAGCTTTTTTTATAAAATAGGACTGCAGATCCTTTGAAATAGAAGCTCTGCAACATGCAGGAACATGTTTGAAGCTATTCTCTTTGAACAAATGAAACAGTCATATCTTTTTCCATGCCAGTGAAGCTATTTTTGTGAGCTGCTCCCAGCTGACTCTCCATGCACCTGCATGCGAAGCAAAGTGGCTGTGCATGCACATTCATGCAAATACAGCTAGAAAGAGTGTTTGATATCACCACGAAGCCTGGAAAAACTTATAGGTCTTTATTGGTTTAAAGAGAGGTGCTTTGTACATAGTTTCTTTGGAATGATTTGTACTGCCCTGTTGTAAATTAACAGTAACCAAGAATATGCAACTTAGTGCATTCTAGATGTTTTAGATCACTGTTTCCACAACCCTTTGTGTGGGACCGGCTGGTTGGGCTTGATTAGGTTTGACATCCAAAATATTTGGAACATCAGCTTGTCTAACCCTTGAAGCAAGTAGAAAGAATATTTACACTGTAGATAAAGATTTTGAGGTATTTTATTCATGATTTTATTAGTTTAGTTTAGTAAAAATTCTGTACTATCATTAAAATAGCAAATGATTTAAACAATAATGTGGATTTAATCTTTTCTCCCTGCAGATGTGTGACCTTAATTTCCCAGTCAGCATGGTCATCCTCGAAAATTCTGGGAGCTGAAGTCCACTTATCTAGCGTGTCCACAGACAAGGGTACATTTTTATTATATAATTTAGTATGTGTAAACATTAAGCTGATATTACAGCTAAAATGAATGGAATTTGACATAATTGTACTATATATGCTGCATGATGAAGCTGTTGATCCAGTATTGTGGCTTCAAATAATTTTCAAATACAGGTAGCTGTTAGATTTGTTTAATGACCCTACTTGAATTTCTGCCACTCAGCAAAGCGGCCATTAGGCAAAGCATCACGCGACCACACTGCTTGTGAAGTCAGTTCTAGTAGGTAAGGTTGCTCCATTGTTAGGCAAAGACCTCATGCTTCTTCTGCCCTGCCACACTCATCACTGTTTCAACTCCACTTATCCCACCACCTATAATATCTCCCTCCATCTCCACCACTTATCCTTGCTGCGCCCTACCATCCCAGCCATCCCAGCCATCTTCCATTGCTGAGGAGGCATGCCTGGCCAAAGCAGCTGCTGGCCTTTTGTGAGGCCTTTGCCGTGTCCATCTCCCTCCCCCCCCCCATTCCACAGCCTACCTTTTCTCCCCCCCCCCCCCGCTGACAAGTTGAACCTTGCCAAGGCAGCCACCTGCTCTTTGTGAGGCCTTTGTGCAGAGTTTATCTGGGGCAGCAAGGGAAGCAGGGATAGGTGGCAGAGTGCAGGGTATCCAAAAGGGTAGAGATGGGGCGGTGAACAGTTCGGAAGTTGAAGCACATGCTGTGGTCATAAATGCAAGTGGCCTGCCAAGCATCTGAATTTGATCACTTGATCGGGTGGTGGTGGTGGTGATGGTGGTGTCTGCAACAGCTGTAACTTTGAAGACTGGTTGTAAGTACTATTTGCTCAATACTGTTGTAAGAGATAGTTGGAATTATTCTGCCAGAGCAAGAAGAATCTTTGTGCTTTCAACAGTCATTTTGTAGCTTACTACCAAGGGCCTATCTCAGTTTTGTATACTTTAAACATGTGTTTTACAGCTGTTATCATTTATAGATATAGAGATGATTGCTTGATTCTTGAAAACAAAGCAGAGGAATCAACCATTATTCTTTCCACTGCTGGAATAGAGAGAGAGAGAGGTTGTAGCGGAATACCACAGAATGCAGCATCAGTGACATACAGTAAGCAAGGATACTGAGGCTCTTTAATCTGTTTAATCCAAAAATCAGAATTTTGTTAGAATTTAAATATACACAGTAGGAATCTTTATCAGCATAGATCTGTTGAATGACTCCCTGGTTTTCTTTATTAACTTCTTTTGTTCAAACTGCTAGCTATTTTTGGCACCCTCTAAAACTGTCTCCATCCTGCATTGTGAATCCTAATAGTGCTTCATTTTATAGTGTGAATCTTTCATAGATAATTATGTTCCTGCTGAAGAGCCAGAGAGCTTTCTCTCCTGACAAAATAACATTTTGTTTCTTATTTTGAAAGTTGTTTTCTGAGCACTTAACATTTTGTCTCGTTCTTGAATCCTGTTAGAAAATATCTCATATTCTTTGCTGCCCTAATCCCCAATAGCTATACAGGTAGTCCTCGACTTATGACCTCAATTGAGTCCAAAATTTCTGGTGCTAAGCGAGACATTTGTTGAGTTTTGCCTCATTTTACGATCTTTCTTACCACAGTTGTTAAGTGAAACGCTGTAGTTGTTAAGCTAGTAACACGGTTGTTAAGTGAATCTGGCTTCCCCATTGACTTTCCTTGACAGAAGGTCCCCAAAGGCAATCACATGACTCCAGGATACTGCAACTGTCATGAGTCAGCTGCCAAGTATCCAAATTTTAATCACATGACCATGGGGATGCTGCAACAGTCGTAAGTGTGAAAAACGGCCATAAGTCACTTTTTTCAGGCCCATTGCAACTTCAAACAGTCACAAATGAACTGTTGTAAGTTGAGGGCTATCTGTATTCAACTAACGGATACAGCATTTTCGAGCACATTCATTTTTCTGAAAAATTTTTAGATATTTTTTTGGGGGGGCAGTTGTGGTTTTTGTTGCAAGAAAGAATACTTTCCAGCATTCATGCATATATGAAAGGAATAGAAGAAGTGAAACTTGTGGGGAAGGCTGTCGGTGGGAACCAAGATTGGCCATTTTGGCAGGTCACAAGCAGGAATGGAGCAGGCTTATTAATTTCTTTTTTCTTTCATTCAATTGTGTCTGATTCTTGGAGATTGCCTGAACAAGTCCCTGCAAAATTTTTCACAAGTGGTTTGCCACTGCCTCCTTCCTAGGGCTGAGAGATAGTGACTGGCCCAAAGTCACCCAGCTGACTTCCTGTCCAATTTGGGATTAAAACTCAAAGTTTGCCAGTTTCTAGTCTGATGCCTTAACAAGAACACCAAAATGGCTCTCTAGTAATAGATCACTAGTTCTGACAGACTTGAAGTACAGGTTTTTGCTCATATAAGTCATCTTACATGAATCAATTGTAAAAATGTACAATTATAGGTATATTATATTTTACTTTTCATGTTCAAGGACCATAGATCAGGAGGAAAGTAGGCAGGGGTCCCCAAACCCTGAGCCATGGCCCACTACTGTTTGAAACCGGGCCGCGGGAGAAATGGGCAAGCGTGCTTGCCCGAGTGGAGCTTCACACATGAGCGCAAGTGCCTGCACAAATGGAGCTGTGTGCATGCGCCTGCCACTTACATGCCTCCCCCCTCTGCCGTGTCAGACCGCCAAGCTGGAAGGGTTGGGGATCACTGCTGTATGGCAAGTCGTTAAAGGGTAGAATAATTGAGTTAAATGATTTAGATAAAAGATGAGATAAAAAACTCATCAAATTTGCAAATGACACTAAGCTGGCAGGAATAGTGAACACTCCAGAAGATAGGCTCAAGATACAGAAGATCTTGACACACTTGAACACTGGGCCCTATTTATGAATTAAGGGGGCGGTGAAATTTCATCTACTTGCATTTGCATGCTTTCGAGCTGCTGAAATTCAATGGTGAGAAAAGTAAGGTTCTATATTTAGGCAAGAAAAATCAAATGCCCAAGTATAGAATAGGTAGTATCTGGTTCAACAGTAGTAACTGTGAGAGGGATCTTGGAGTCTTAGTGGACAGTCACTTAAATACAAGCCAGAAGTGTGCTGCAACTGCCAAAAAAACCAATGCAGTCCTAAGCTGCATTAATAGAGGGATAGAATCAAGATCACATGAACTGTAAGTCCCACTTTATAATGCCTTGGTAAGACCATGCTTGAAATATTGCATCCAGTTTTGGTCTCTATGATATAAAAAAGATGTCGAGACTCTGGAAAGAGTACAGAAAAGAGCAACAAAGATGATTAGGGAACTTGGAGATTAAAAACATATGAAGAACAATTGCAGGAATTGGGTATGTCTAGTAGTTTAATGAAAAGAAGGACTTGGGCTGACATGATAACAATGTTCCAATCTCTAAGGGGTTACCAGAAAGAAGAGGGAGTCAAGCCATTCTCCAAAGCACCTGAAGGCAGGACAAGAAGCAATGGATGGAAACTAATCAGAGAGAACCAACCTAGAACTAAGAAGAAATTTTTTGACAGTTCGGACAATTAATCAGTGGAACAACTTGCCTCCAGAAGTTGGAATGCTCCGATACTGGAGGTTTTTAAGAAGAGAATATGGACAGCCAGTGGTTCTCAACCTGTGGGTCGGGACCCCATTTGGGGTCGAACGACCATTTCATGGGGGTTGCTAAACAAGGCTGTCCGCCATTTTTTCCCCCTTTTCTTTGGCCGTGCCCCTGGCACCCGGTGATGTATAAGTGGTTGGGGGTCACCACAACATGGGGAACTGTATTATGGGGTTGTGGCATTAGAAAGGTTGAGAACCACTGGTATAGGGTTTCCTGCCTGAGCAGGGGGTGGGCTAGAACAGGGCTTTTCAACCTTTTCACCCATTGTACCACTTTTAGGATATGGCAATATCTGAGTACCACCAGTCGCCTAGCAAGGTATCAAAAACTTGATGCCCAAAAAAAAGGAAAAAAGTGATAAAATACAGGTAGTCCTCAACTTACAACAGTTTGCTTAGTGACTGTTCAAAGTTACAATAGCACTGAAAAAAGTGCCCCCCAAGCCACAGCCAAGCAAGGTACCTGTCTGCCCGCCCAGCGATGCTCTTCCTCCTGTCCGAGGTTTTCATTGTTGTGAGCATTTCTGTTGAGGATTGGCAGCGGGAGTGAGGTGGGGGGTGTTTGGTTTTTATTCCCCCCCGTCTGCCTGGTGGTTGCAGCAGGTTTTGGTCACTTCACATGACCTTGGGACACTGTGACCGTCATAAATATGAATCAGTTGCCAAGCATCTGAATGTAAATCACAAGACCCTGGAGATGCTACAACATTCCAGCTGATCGGCGTTTCTTCTGGGCTCAGCAGAAGCGCCACGACCAGCGCTGAGCTCCAGCTGGAGCCTGGTGCTGATCCTGGCACTTCCACTGAGCCCTGACAGCCCTGCAGCTCCAGCCATCTCTCGCTTAAGCTTGTGCGATGCTGCCACCAGTTCAGCTCATTCCCCTCCCCCACTACCATTTTTCTAGGATGCTCGCGTAGCATCTGCCAGGTGCCAATGTACCACAGGTGGTACCCGTACCACTGGTTGAAAAGCTCTGGGCTAGAAGATCTTCAGGACCCCTTCCAACTCTGTTGTTCTGTTATTCTGAGTTTTGGAGGCTCAGTGGCTCAGCAATTAAAGACACTGAGCTTGTCATCTGAAAAGCTCCTATTTTTCAGAGCTTCCGTTACTTACCCCAGCTCCTGCCACCCGCAGTTTGAAAGCTGCAAATGCGAGTAGATAAATAGGCACCACTTTGGTAAGAAGGCAACAATGTTCCATGTTCTTTGGTGTTTAGTCATGCTGGCCACGTGACCATGGAAATAGTTTTGGACAATTCTGGCTCCTTCAACTAAGAAAAGGAGATGAGTACCGTCCCTCCCTGGATTCGGACACAACTGACTCTACTTACCTTTACCTTAATTGAGTTTTGGGCATATTGATTAGGAATCTGTGATAACTAGTT